ATAAAGACCTGTTATTATTATTATTATTATTATTGTTATTATTATTAGCCATGCTGAACAGAACTCACTTATAGTGTGCTAATAATTTGTTGCCATTGAATGTTGCAAAGTCTCTTTCTCTAGGAAAAAAGCACCAATATAATGTAACTACAACACTGATTTTTTCTGGGGCGTCATTTAATCACTAAAGATCTAGAATTATTATTCGACTCGCAAATCAGTTTCAATAATAATATTGATAACACAGCTGCTGAAGAATATAAAATGTATGAATCCATCCTTAGATATTGTAGATCATTTAGTAGCGAATCAGCACTGAGATGACTACTTTTCTCTTATGTACATTCTAAACTGGAGTACCGTTTGAATGTCTGGAACCGATACTATCAGTGCCACAAGGAAACACTGGATAAACTATAAAGGAAGTTTTTGAAGTATCTAGTGTTTAAAAAGCATCACATATATATCCAGAACAAGGAACTGACTATAATCTTCTGCTAATACTTTTTGACATTGATAGTTTGGAATGGAGTGTCCCTACCATTCCTTTATAAATTGACGTATATTATTGATTGTCCAGATAATTTATCTCGCATTAAATTTATTGTACCCCAGATTAATTCTAGACAATTATTCTACCGTTGCTTGGACAAAGTTAGTGTTGAAATCACCACTATCATTGTTTATATTATAATAAGATATCGCAACATATTTAATTGGAAACTCAGGGAACTAAGGTGTGCTGCTGAAAATACGACATAAAACACATTCGTATAGTATAGTTTTTTTTTATATTACACTGCTCTGTAAAGGGATTATATATCTGTTGAGCAATACATTATATTACTATTATAAAATTGACCCATTTTTTAATATTAGTACTCTAATATGAGCTCATGTTCGCAACATTTTCTGTGGCAGTTTTTGTATGCTCATACCAGCTCGCCGCCAGATCCTTTATTACTTTGTCAAATGTTTTTCTAGCGTTACAGTGATGTATAAATATAAATCAACGGATATGAATAGTTTTTGTACGTTTAATGAAACAGGAGATGCAACTTTTGTAACTACCCTCGTATAATCATACGTATTCCATCTGTCTACATAATAAGGATCCGACTGTTTTAGAAACAGTTGGAACGAAGTATTCTTGCTAGTAAATATTCTTTGGTTATGCTGTGGGCCGCTCTTGTTATAACACCGAATAGAAGAGTAAATCCTTCGGGGGAAATCCGCTAAAACACCGCCGTCCAAAGAGCGGAATCGAATTTACTGCTACACTTATTTACTTTTAGCGCGGCAGAGTTTGCGGGTAGGCATTTTCACAGAAAACCAGGACAAAAAAATAAAAACGCTTGAGAGCACTAGATGCTGGGTTATGCGGTACCTTTAGCGGTTGGTCTTACGGTTCTTTGAGGTGAATCAGTTATACGATACCAACACAACTTTATCTACATCAGGAAAAACAATAGCCACCCATTTCACTCGGTCAGTATATCTGCCACTCATCTGTCAATCGTGCCTGACATCTGTTTGCTGAGTAATTGACCTCTTTATAACTCTTAGGGCCAATTTCACCAACAACAGTCCGTTATTCTCCACCTATAGGGTAACAGCCCGTCAAATACAGCGAATGAGCTTCAAGTTCTAATCAACAAATTTTAGCAACCAATAGCTATGAAATGTTGAAAACAAAATACTGTCAAAGTATGAGATGACAACTTGTCATTGAAACATCATCAGCTTATTGAATATTAATGAATTACATATAATTCAGTCAAAATTTAAACAAATGTTTGATTTTTGAATAAAATTCATGATTTAATTACTATTGTTGATTTTTTATTCATGTTTATCTATTTTCTTCAATTGATATGCGATTTTACTGATTCAAGATCATCTACTGGGTGTTTTTTTCCTATAAACCTCTTGCAGATAGCCATTAAGCACCTACTTGATGACTGGCTCTACCAAAAAGTTCATAGATATTGCTCATTTCCAAACCTTCATTCATTTACTTGCCGTTCATCAGAACCATTATGGCACCTTAGATTGATATTCCCACAAAACCATTCTGGCTTTTCAATATCCATACATCCATAAAGTTGAATATTTTTCGTTGTTCAGAAATTTAACAAAAATCCACACTATATTTACAGCGATTAAGAAATACCCAAATATATGTCGTAGAGCTACCAGCAAACCTAAAACCTGCCGAAAAACTAGAAATTTGCAATATTTTTCTTTTTTCACTCAGTACATATTCTGGGTTATATTTATATTAGACGTTATTTGAATCACAAAACATATACACTGAATTGAATAACAGCTGATTATCTCCTGATATTTTAAAACTAACCATATCGGCAAGTGACACATAATTCTGTGGGATCCGTCAACACTTCGTCCCAGTGGAGCAAACTCTGCTAACTGTCGAAATAAACTTTATTAATTCCAAGTCTTATTTTTGTTTTACTGTGCCTGCTTAGATATTCAAATACGGCCAGGAATTATTAGCGCCTGGCTATTTTAGGCCTTCAATAACTTCTTCTTTTAGATCTCTCCTTATTTTGTTTTTTCCACGCATTCATGATAGAAAGACAAATATTTTATCGAATATCGATACCGTATACCGTGCAGCAGGCATGCCCATCACTACTTTGACAGATTGCAGAATGATGTCAAGGTGACAATCGTTATGTGGCAGTTGTTTTTGTTTTTGTCTGAAATAGGTAAGTAGGCTTTGTGTATTCATTTTTATTTTTATAGCGTTTCCAGAATTTCATATTTCGGAACGATGTCAAGGGCCGGCAGGGAAAAATCTTTCTATGAGAACTGAAAATCAATAAACGCGTTGTTTTCAGTCTATTTTATTCTATCCCTTGGGGAAGTACAGAATGAAGAAAAGACTACAGTGCTCAGTGGCCACACAGTGGCTCAGTGCTCGTCTGTAATGATAATATTCAAATACTACTAACCACCTAAATAGCTTTCTGGCCTTTCAATTTCGAAGCTACCAGTCCTCGCTTAGAGATGGTAGCCCAGTTAAGGATAGACTCGGGGTATACGGTTACGGATGTTTATGATTCCTTTCGATATCGATATATCGTCATGAAGCCATCGATGCGTAATGATCGATGTGCTACGTCCGATGTATCGATGTTTTCGATACATCAATGTATCGTCTATCGTCGCGATCCTTATATTGTATCCCTCCCAGTCACCAGTCAACAACCTTAACCACCAATATTTTATCACTATTTATAATTCTTTTTAGCTCTTATTTTTCAGTAATTACTAATAACTTTAGTTCTATGTCTACAGTAATTGCATTATGCACCTCGGAGATGTAGGGATTAACATGTTTTACACATATCGGTGTTTTAAGATGGAGACGACCATACTGTTTTGATTGCTTTGAAGAAATTCATTAAGCCATGAATTTATAACTAATGATTACTATTATGATGTAAAGAGAGATGAGGAATTGGTTGGAATACATTTTATATTCTATTTTGTTGCAAAGCCGCACAATTCAACAGGTATGTGTAGAGCTATAATGATCACATATACACACAGTATATTGAACTTAACAAATTTCGAGATTGCCATGAATTAAACAAACAACCAAACCTGCTGCCAAATTTAACAGCTAGAAAATCGACCTATTATTTTTCCCATTCCCATTCGCTGAGGGGATAACGGATGGTCAAATGTACACCTATAACATAAATCAAAATACATGGAAGTTGTCCTGTTTTCTCTGTACAAAAGCATCATGTTGGAATCAAAAAGTGGTCTTGTTTATAATACAGTCGAATTTTCACAATTTTATTCAACATTTTAATAGAAACCACTGATATTCTGAGACCTTTGACAGCTTCCGTCAAATTGCATTTTGATAAGGTATTTTCCTATTGGTCCATAATATTAATGTTGGTGAAATCGGCCCTAAAAGTACTATAGTTGTAGTCACCGTTCTTGGCGGTTACGTCAGCAACGCCATATGAAATAAGTAAACAGATTGAGTCTCCGTACCATGGGAAGACTGCTCAGACTAATCTTCAGCGCATCTGCTACTCTCTCCAGTACGCATGAAGTGGGTAACAGGGGATCAGTGTTATCATTCTCTTCTTGGAAATACTCCAATTAATTCAGCACGAGCTGTCGGAATTCTCCATTGATCATATTTCCGGGCATTTAACTATTTTATATTGAAAATTGATAACAGAACAACTCGAATTGCACGCCGACGTCAATTAAGTTGTCACTCTGACAAATATGATTGAAGTGCACTCATACGTAAGGACAAATTTTTGGAGACGAAAACACACAACTAACAAACGTATGTCTTCGAGCTTACCGAACAAACATTCACACACAGGGGTAGATTGCACGTGTATGTATGAGGAAGATGGAGATATATAAACGGATACTGGTAGTATCACTTTGACCAGCCAAGAACGGTGACTACAACTATAATAGTACTTTGATAAAAAAAATTACAGCAGGATAGCAAGATGCAAAAGGTTTTGCAAATCAGTCGTTCGGTGATAAAGTTGCTGCAAGGAAAAGGAGAAGTCAAAACCACCAAAACTTCGTTTTTCCACTTCCGAAATTCCCAGTTATTTTTGAAAAATTGTTAGAAGGGTTGAAAAATTTGAGTTATGTAATTTATTTGTCATTGGCATATGATTTTTGGTCGTGATTTTATCAGTTTACAAATTCGTAATGTGTTTTTGTGCATATATATGGTGCATTTGTTATCAGAAAATTTTAGGATATAATATTTTTTTTTATACTCCAACTACCGCGAAGGCCTGAGGCCTAAGCACCCATTGAGTACCGTGGGGCTATAGGGGGATACATGGGAAAGGTGGAACGCCACACGGACTCTGGCGAGGGAACACGTGTGCATGCGACATGCACACATTCTGGCTCCGCCTACGAGATCCGCCGGGTGGTACCTCCGCGTTCGACAGTCAGAGACCGTCTAAAACCTACGGACAATCACAACATCCATAGCCAAGAGAAAAATTTCTCCTGAAACGGGACTCGAACCCGCACAGGGCACGGCGACTGATCAGGAGACCGAAGAGTCTACTACTACGGCCACCGGTGCTGCCCTTGAACCAATTTCGTATTTTGAGCAAAATTCTCTGTCTCCAAAACATACGAAAGCGTTCCGAAAAACTTCTACTTAGCTTCACCGCCCGATGGAGCCACTGTCACAAGAGGAATTTACTATCGTAAACCGCTACTATCAAAATTTCAGCAAAAATTAAAAAAAATGGAAAATCGGTCGCTGACTCGATTCTTGCTTTTGGGACGGAAATCGCGCAGCGAAATCAAAGAGCGCTTGGATACTGTGTACGGTGAGTTCTCCTTCGACAGCGGCCGTAAAAAATCGGTTTAACTAGTTTTAACGTGATCGCACATCGGTTTTTGATTAGCCACGCCCAGGAGCTCCGAAAACGGCTACCACGGAGGATAACCTTGACAAAAATCGACAATCTCTATTGATAGACAGCCAATTGAAGGTGCGCGAGATAGCTGACACAGTCGGCATGTCAAAACATCGCGTAAGTCATATCCTGCATGAAACATTGGGCATGAGAAAGCGCAACCGTGACACCACTTCAGAGCAGTGTTTGACACTGTTTAAGCGCAATCCGAAGTAGTTTCTGCGTCTTTTCGTAACCGTCGACGAAACACGGATCCACTGTTACTTACCAGAGACCAAAGAACAGTTGAGACAGTGGACTTCACCCGGCGAACGTACTCTGAAGAAGGCGAAGGCTGTCCTATCGACCGAAAAGGTGATGGCCACCGTTTTCTGACATTCACAAGGCTTGATCTATTTTGACTATATGGAGAAGGGCAAAACGGTCCCAGGGCTCTACTATGCCAAATTATTGGGCCGATCCGACGCCAAGTTGCAGACAAAAACGGCTCTATTTGGCGAAGAAAAAGTGCTCTTCCACCATGTCAACGCACCGGCTCACAACTTCGCCATATCCTATGCCAAATTTTTCGAATTAGGCAACGAACTGCTGTTCCATCCACCTTGTTCTCCAGATTTAGCCCCGTGCAGTTACAAAGAAGTTTCCTTGTATTTCCAAACTTGAAAAACTCACTAGCCGGGCAGAAATTTGAGTCGAATGGGGAGGTTATTGCCGCCGCCACGGATGCCTACTTTGCAGACCTCCAGAAAACGTATTTTTCAGACGGGTTAAAAAAGTTTGAGCATCGCTGGATCAAGTGTATCGGACTATGTAGAGAAATAAATCTACACTTTTCCAAAATTTTCGTTTTTCTTTTGTCAGATAAGTACTTATCAGACCGCCCTCGTATACCAAGAATAGAACGACGTCATATACAATTGGTCATTGTCACAAAGCAAATAGATAATAATTCAGCCTACGTATGATTTGTAGCCAAATAACTTAATTTGTGAGAGAAGAAAAGTCTTTATTATAACAAAATCCATTTTGATAAAAATTTATGAGCTGACTCCATTGAGAACCGACATAACCCCATGTTTTTAAGAGAATTTCAAATTTGGGACATTTTACCTTTGACCTCGACCTGTGGTCTAGCACGTAAGTCTTAGCCCCTCTAAAACCCGAAATGCACTGATTTGTGATAAACCGTTGTTCTCATGTCAGAAACGATAGAACAAACAAATTTTATAGGCATTGGAAATGAGTGATTTACTGTAAATGGAAAACGTAGAATTTCAGCGTCCCCAGTTTTACTTTTTGATGCTTTGCAAGCTGCCAATAACTTTCACAACCTTATTTAGATGCTTTTTGACCTTATGACTCCTTTATGGTATAGACAAAGTCATTTTTAGGAAAGCTCAATAGTTGCAGATGCCACTATCGTAATTTGGAATGTTCGTCACCCCAAATTGATGCATAAACTGATTATATCAAAGCGTCGAAATGTGTGAATTAGTCTCTGTCTTCTTTTCTATTTGCTCTTTCAAAACAGCAACTCCTTAGGACTGGCTCATTCTCGGTATGCGCACCTCTATGCTCCAGAAAAGCATTAATTAATTATTCGAGGAAATGCATGCTTTTAACCAGCTAGCCATGAGAGCATTGATATACATAGTCCGTGGCATACTCGCAGCGTTGTTGAGCGTCGCAGTAAATTTACCTGTTACGTATTTTTGTTTTGCGGCCACCAACTGAGTAACAGTGTTAAGATGAAGGACAAATAGAATAGAGTAATAATAAAAACTATTTTACAGGGTGTTCAAGATAAGGATTCTATGCATGGGATTTCAATACCTGTGAGCTTTGTATGTCTATCCCGGGATTCCGGGACCGACCCGAAAAAAATAATTAAAAAATTAAACTTTTATTTTTCAACAGACACTGCAGTGAAAAATATCACATACACTTAAAATTTTGTTGGCATTTCGGCACCTAACATTAATCGGGGCCTTTAATAGTAAGTTAGTTTGAGCTCTTTTTCACAGGAAAGTATTGAATTGTGTAGATGTTATTCCAGGAACCAGAATATCTACTTGAGCTAACAATACAGGACAATCTACTTTTCCATTAGAAAGCTTGCTCAAGAAAAGTATAGATAACTGATATATACGGCTCTCCAAAGACTGATAACCAAATCTATGTAGTAGCTCAGGATTACTTCAGCCTCTTGGTGAATACACACCATCGATTTTAAAAGCTATGAATTTCAAAAACTTGTTTTGTGCTTTTTGAATAGCAACGATGTATTGGCTATATATAGGACTCCATATGACTGAGCCATATTCCAGTTTGGATCTTACTAGACTGAAATACAAAGACGATAATGCTGAGGTGTCATTGAAATTCTTGCAATTCCTAACAATAAAACCAACAAGCAAAATAGACACCTAAATATCTAATGCAATCGATTCTTCCTAGTGTCAAATTCTCAATAGTATGCCGATAAGATATAGGCTTGGACTTGTGACCGAATGTTACTACTTTGCATTGAGATATGTTCAAGTACAGACGATTTCTTACACACCAGTTCTGTAGAAAAGTGATTTTTTCCTGTAAGGTGATACAGTTCTCTTCACTGGATACTGATATATATATTTTTAAATCATCCGTAAACAATAGCTTATTGCAATTAAGTGAATCACACAAATCATTGATGTAAAGTGAGAATAGAAGAGGTCCCAAATTGAATCCCTGCGGCACACCACTAGTCGCAGTGAATACTTCCGATCTCACATTATTTACACATACATATTGTTGTCTTTCAGATAAATATGATTTTAATAGCAAGAAATAATTATTTTGTAAACCTAGATAACAAAGTTCCTTGAGGAGATATGTGATATATCGTTGAATCCATATAAAAAATGCGATTAGATACAGGGTGTACTTTTTTGACCAAAGTTGATGATGGTTCCTCAAAATCACCATCATGTAATGCCTAAAAGATGTCAATGGAAAAGTTAGTTTTTTGATATTCCTTGAAATAAACTCAGAAAAAATAAAAATGATTTGGCCAAATTTTAGTTTTCTCCCAAATATCTCAACTTTTCCTAATTTAACCTAAGCTGTATCTCCCACAGGTATTGAGGATCCCTATCTTAGATACCCATGTTTGATATGAGACTAGTGAATAAAATGGTGTTAAGTGGTTGACTTTGCACTCGCCTCGCAACGGTGTTATTAGTTCATAACAGATATGTTAGCCCCCTTTACAAAAAGAAACCACATGTAACGAAACAATACAATAGATCAAGCCGGTCAAATAGACTCATACACTTACTGTATAGTCCTCAGGCGACACCATCCCCCCCCTTCCTCTTCTCGCCACCCTCCTAAAATGTTTCGGAGCTAATACATAATCATCATATAAACAAATTTTCTTCTGCCAATGTCTTATCGGCAACCATGAAAAAAATTTCTGATGGCGCTCATGTTTGAGAGCCTTCGTGTCGATGTGCTAGCAGTCGACGCCACAACATCTGGGACCCAGACAAGCCGCCTTCGCGACGAGGTATTCTTTTTCGTTTGTTCGCAATTTATGACACATGCCATTTTGTAGACGAGAAAAAGTGGCAATGTTGGTGTGCAATTTATTTCCAATTCCCACTACGAATAAAGTCAGGAAAAATTATTTTATTATTATTTGGGGAAATTCTCTTTTTTCCGGAAGTACTTTGAATTTTGAAACTTTCTAAGTGGCGTTCCAATAATACCTTAATACGTAACATTGCCCCCATTTAAGCGCCTTCGTAGCTCACACTGTTGCCAAGATCCTAATTATGAAACACCCGGTAGACATCTTTACTTTTTTACAAGTAAAAATACTATTTATAATAATCTGTTGAGCTTACATTGTACTAAGTAAAACCGATTCTGAATCTTTCTGAAAATGAGTAACCTTCTCTCTCCTCTATAGTTTGTGTGTCAAAAACATCCTGGATAATATGCCCGACATACAACTTTGCTATTATCAGTGTTATTCCCGCCAATGTCTTCTCTCTGTAAGCACATATCACTATAGTGGCTCGCTCTGTACAAGAGTTGCTACTATATGATTTCAGCAAGTTATGAATAAATGAGAGCAGAACGCACATATTTTATGAAGTAGAGGGCCCCAAGAGACCACATGCAGCCTGCATTCAACCTAATTACGGTCATGCATTGCAGGAGCATAATGTAGGATGCCAAGATCAACCGCTCTCGCTTTTCCCCTTTGCCTTCCGGTAGGACAAATGGTGAAATGCTAGGCCAGTAAGGAAATGCTTTCCTGCAAAACTTTCAGTAAACTTTTTTACATGCTACGTAAGTTAATAGGTTGAGACAGGTATGGATGTTCGATATGATCCGATAGTTAGAAGTATCGTTAGTTTTTCTTCCGATATCCAATGTTACACTAAGTGACATATAAATCCAAACACCCAGTTTAAATGGTTTTATTTTAATCAAAGTTGGTGAATGTCTTATCTTACTGTAAATAACAAGTGAAAAATTTTTCAGCCTTATCAGTTGGACT